AACAAAAGTGCAAGAATCATTAGCTCTCTGAGATTTTTAGAGACTAAAATGAGAAAGACAAAGAATTCATTGGTGTCATTTTTTTTTTAAAGTAACCTTTTGTCTGCATAAATCTTTTTATATAAACCTCTGGTTATTATATGAATGCTGTAGATCTGTTCAGGAAAATAACCATACTAAGTTACAGAGAATATCTAATAATAATGGCTTTTCTTAAATAGTAATTTTTAGGGACCAGTGGCCCCCCAGAGAAGGCTTCCATGCCCCTGCCAACTCCAGAGCAGGATGGAACCGGGAGGGCTAATGAGAGCAGAGAGTTGCCCTTGTCTTCTCTGACGGTACTTTCTGGAGGGAGCAGCAAAATCCTAGGAAATAAACAACCTGGGTTCTAGTCTTAGATCTGCCATTAAGCAGCTCTGTGGTCTTGGGCAAGATATCCAGTCTCTCTAGGTCTTGATTTTTCATCTGCAAATTAAAAGCTTAGAAATTCCTTAGCACTTCCTTCTAGCTCTGAAATGCCTTGAGTTCATTATGAGAGTGATCACATGGTGTCCGTGTGTGTACTCAGGGCAGATGTGGGTCCAAACATTGCAACGAGCATAGAGTTAAGTGTGCAGAAAAGGGTTAAAGATTTAAGCATGTTGGAGTTGCAGCTGAACGAAGGAGGACCCCAGCTCTTGCGTGTTCCATACAGCCATTTTATAGATAGGAGAGGTAGAGAGAAAGGAGTATGTTTTTTCCAGGGGAAATCAAGAGAAACCAGAGTATCTTTCTGACTCGAGAGTTCACGAAGATTGGAGAGAGGTGTTGGGCAGAGTGAGGACTACCCTGAAAGGAGACCAAATACATAACTTAAGTGGTATGCATGACTAGAAAGATCAGGGCAATAAGGTCACACCTCTGTCCCTGCGACCAGCATGGTCTGCAATTTTCAAACTTCTTTTAGCTCTGGAACCCTGTTGGGGCAGCCACTGCTTAAAAAAACAGTAGTCCTTTCCTCCACTCCTGCTTCCTGGCCCTCTACACCAAATCTCAAGCAAGCATGAGCCCCAGATAGACAGGCTTCCTCTTCAGCAAGCATGAGCCCCAGATAGACAGGCTTCCTCTTCAGACCCAAAGTCCAAAGTTGTAGACTCCCATTCAGGTGTTAAATACAAATGGCTGAACCAACACTCAGCTGGTTATTTGAAGGTCTTGCCAGGGCCACAGCCACCTACACGCAGATTAGACAACCAGCTTTGGAAAGGGAGCAGCCCTGATTTAGGTGCCAGGTAAATCAATGCTCCATTCCCACATTTCTACTTGTTGTGTCAACAGACGTAGCAGAGGATGGGAAATGAGATCCAATTGCAGTGAGGAGGAAGGATGAAGATGCAGCTCATCGTGCACTCCTAACTCATTCTTGAAAGACAAGCCTGAGCGAGCAGATTTCCGACCAGATAAACCCAGCTGGACCACCTAGGCAGCAGACAGGAGATGGCAGGGCTGTTTTGTGTATGTTTTTTGTTTGCTTGCTCAGTTTTTAATGGAAAAAATGTTGTATTTTTCTGTGCTTTCTGTGCTTTCAAAGTTTGTTAGCATTAAAAATCTATTCCTTTTGTTAGAAAAATAAACTATGAATATTTTAATAATAGTTCAAACATTGAATTTGATAACTACCACTCCTAAGAATATACACATTTCTTTTAAAACATGACATGTAAAGTAATATGTATATGTGTGTGCATATATATTTTAAGGGAACCAGGAGTTAGCATAGTACTTCAGAGAAATATTGTGAATATTGATTTTTTTCCCCTAGTGAGATATTACCTGGGAATCACAGCCAAGGTAGGACTATTTAGACAGCTTTATCATTAACCTTTCTCTGTATGTAAATTCACAGACATCAGACTGTAAAGTGTGCTTGCTGCATCACCAAAGGAAACCAAAATCTGGTACAAGCCCTTATTTTGAAAATGAATGGTTCCATCTTCTTTTTAAAGTACTCCAAAAGTTTTTGGGACAGCCCGTTCTGCAGTTCAGTCATACTCACCGATCACAAAGTCTTTCTTGTGTCTAAAAACAGACTCTCTCCTGATGCTGTCAACTCAAACTCCTGTTCTTCTGCTCCATCCAGTGAGAGGGAGAAGGCTGGCTAGTGTTCCCCACAGCTCCACCTCACTGCCCAGAGGTTGTTAATTTTGTCTGCCTTCAGCCTTCTCTTCTCCAGGATAAATAATCCGCCTCCTTTCTTGTGTACATAGCCTCCAATCCCTGTCATCGTTGTCTTCTTTCTGTACGTGAATTCTGTGCCATTTTCATACATACGTTTTAAGTTACAGACCTAAAGTGTAATGTTCAAATGAGAGCCTGACCTACAATGAATTTACAAAAGGATTACCTCCTGGCTACAAATGATGCTTGTCTTAATACAGCTCAGGATAGTATTTCTTTCTTAATGCCATCACTAGGTTAATGACTCATGTATTTCTGGAATGCTGGATCTCCTCCAGCCAAGTTCATGTCAAAATACACTCTCTATCTAGCCCTTTCTCCCACCACCAACTACTCCCCAAAGGCAGTCACTGTTAATAAATTTAGATTTTAGTTCTTCCAGCAGTTTCTACTTGAGCTCTAAATAAATAATATGTCTACATCTACCTGTTTTGATTTTTCAACCTTAGACACTCAGTAGCTATTGAGTTCTCTACATGAATGATGAAAAGTTTCACTCATTCCTTCTCTATCTTCTCCCCAGTTTAGGTTAATTCATGATTTTTTAGCTCTTCAGTTGGGTAGATGTATAATTTACCTGTATGTATAACTTACAATTATCCCTCCACTTCCGGATCTAACAGCTTTAGAAAATATTTATTGACCTTAGCACTCTCAGGTAAGAAAATTAACACAGCCCTCCACCTCCAGACTTCTGTCAGAGTATAGCTTTTAGACTGTCAAAGTTTATAATATTTATACTGTTTTATAAATATTATTATGAATTCTGATATTATTATCATAGAAATAGCATTTGCTGCAGACACCAGAAAACAAATTAATCCTACGTCACCAAAATCATGCTATTCAAAATAGAGTGTCCTAAGCATCCCAGTTAAATGGATTCTCTAACCTTAAACTCCATCAAACCCTCAAAAGCATGCCACGACTTAGTTTACTTCTCACTAGAATACTGGATTTTGAGGCAGTTCTATAAATACTACTACTGGTTACAAGCAGTGGGAGCTGATTAACTTAACAAATTTGCTGGAAGGATATAGGGTCACTCTCAAAACCAAAGAAAAAGCTAGAGATGAATCAACTACAGATTTTCAAGATATTAGACCATGAAACTAGAGACAGATCCTGCTCATTCCTGGGAAAGGGCCCCTGATCGGCCTGCCTTGGATCACAAGCTAGGAGTAGGACACAGTCCCATCAAGGTTGCATGCAATGGTGAAGGGTAGTTCTCAAAAAATAAAATCAAGTTGCTGTCACCAGAACAAGCTGGGTAGACTTAACAACAGCATTTATCACATATGATACTGGTTGTCACATTTTAATTAATAAATAATTTGGGTAGTTATCTGTTTGACATTGTCCTTTCCCATCAGATTTCACAAGGAGAGGTTACATATATTATTTGTTCTCTTAATCTACATGCCTAGCACAGTATATGGCACATAGAAATACTTACTAAATATTTGTTGAATATTGTTAAAAAAAAAAAAAGAAGTGCCAAGGGTTTCTGGGATAAACTGCATAGCCTACCTGTATTCATTTACTTTGCTAACAAAATATTTTCAGATGGCTGAACTGCATATTAAAGAAGGGATTATTCTTTCTATTGGTATAACATCATGGAGGGATACAACTTAAGTTTTCCATTGCAAGTATTGTATTTTAAAAGAAGAATATCTCTCAAAACTTCTGGATAGTGGCAGGATCCCATGATCTTACACATTGCCCAAACAACTAATGGTTTACAATGACCTGATCCAAAGAACTGGTCGGCAATTTGAATGTTCAGTATTCATTCAGGATTTCATAGCCTGTGGATCTCTGCAGCCAGGATTCGACACAGCAATATTTAAGGCCTGATCTAATATCTCCCTTGTAAAGCTCCCCATTCTCCCAAGGAGTGAATCCTTTTCCCCACTCCTCTCCATGCCACTTTGCCCACTTGGTCACAAATTGAGGGAGAGTTATTTGTTTATGTACCTGCCTCTCCATCTAAACTATGAGTCCTATAAAAGAAGAAAGTCTGTCTGATTCACCTTTGTATCCCCAGTGCCTGGCAAATAGGAAACATTTATTAAATGTTTATTGAATCTAAACAATCAGTCTAAGTAAAGTCTTTGACAAAGAAATATAATGAGTTCAAAGAAATGCCAGACTCTAAAGGGAGAAGGTTTTATCATCTAAAATAATAAGATCATAAAAAGAAAAGACAGGAAGGAATGGAGGGAGGGAGAGAATGAAGGAGAGAAGAAGGGAGGAAAGGAAGGAAGGAAAGAAGGAAGGAGGGGAGGGAGGGAGGGAGGAGGGGGGAGGGAGGGAGGGAGGAAGGAGAATGTTAGTGCTCTAAGCTGTAGAGAAATTTTAAGTTATTTTTCAAATACACCCGTTCATGGATAGACCGTAAGGGCTTTAATATCTCTAAATCACATGATGACAAAAGAAACAATTAGGAATGCAGAAATGGTCCTCTCTAAAGTTTTCATTCTTACATATCAATCAAGAAGAATGCTAATTAGGAGGCTTCAGCAGGAGTCAATAATTCCTCATCAATATCAGAAATTTAGTTTCACTTTTCAGAGGCTGTTGGTGGCCACGCTTGCGAAATCAAGACTGTAATTCATCTCCAGACAATAACAATTATACCGATTACTAAGAAATAAGTCAACAAAGATATTTTCCTGTTTACATTCTTATCAGACTGTATCAGAACCATCTGTTTTCAAGTTTGTTGTTGCTGGGTTTTTTTTTTTATCCCAAGGGATAAATACTCCACATTGTTCTCAGACTATATGCATGCAAAACTGCCTCTTGCTGCACAGCTGCAATGTTCACTGAAACATTTGGGTAGGGAAAAAACACATACTCTTCTGAGAAAGAAAATGAAAAGAAGTAGATGATCTCACTGAATTTACTCTATCTTCAAACGGAGGATATGTTGGGGGTCTGTCCCATCTCTAATTACCATCTCCTCATTTGAATGAGTGACTATTGATTTTGCTAAAAGTATACAATGTGGAATTTTAGACACTAAAGTAACTCCAACCTAGAAAACACAGTAAAAAACTCCACTAATACAAGAAAGATTCTACAATTTTAAAACAAATAATATGTGACCTCTATGCCGTTGTTCATTAATGCCTACCTCCTGTGATAAAAGCAATAAGTTTCCCTCCTTTGAAGACAGTTATAATTGCTCTATTGCCAAGGAAGCAAGAGTGGGAGATTTAAATCGTGGTACTGACAGAGTTGCTGCGTGGCTTTGGGCGAGCAATTAACCTTTGGTGTCTCAGTTACTTCATCTGCAAAATAGGGATAAGGGTTTTTGCACAGGTGTGATGCCTGGACTAATTAGTACAGTTATCATTATTGATGAGAAAATAATGTTGGTCACCGATTTTGCATCTTATGTTCACACCGGGCAATCATTTTTATCTCCTCTACATTGAATCATTTTTTAAGGAGTCTGTTAAAATGATAAATGATGACAATAGCCACATATTGGCGGCTGGCACGACACAGTTAAAATGGACCATGTCCACATAGGTGCAAAGCCTTCATGAATTATCTTTTGATCATTTGTATTTATCACTTAGATGTTTTCTAAACTTAGACTAAACATGTAAACTATGAAAATGAGGAAACTGTTCAAGGCCCACACTGAACTGGTAAACTGCACTGCAGCAAAAGGCTTTCCAGTTTATTGGTGGGTGACATTATGACAGTACTAGAGTAGTTTAGGCTTGAGCCATACAATTTAGGGTAATCAAAGTCAAGTAAAAGTATGCACTGAAGATACTGCTTATATGACATCTAAAGCCCTCACTTCCATGTGCATATCTGCACTGCAAGAACTGCAGCTCTAATAGCCAGGGACCAGGACAGACCACGGAGGTACAGGAGATGCCAGCTTTGCCAGAGTGGGAGCATCGGCGCTGGGCACAGTAGGGCATCCATACAGGAGAGCACAGGTGATGTCTCTCGAGTCAATGAGAGAGACAGAGGCGAGGACGACAGAAATGGGGACTCCCTGCTCATCTAGTACTCCTAAGTGCTCTTTCTGTTTCCTAAGTCAGGGTGAAATATCTGCTTTAAAAAAAGTTACCTTTACGTGTCGGCAAAAATGGCAATGAACCATAGAGGGAAACATAAAAGATGGAAGTGCTCCAAACGTCAGTACTCAACGCCGTAACCTCTGCATCCTTTTGTGTAGACACGTGATGTTCGCAGGTCCAAAACTTCTCCCCATGGCTTCTCATACTCGAGATTTTCTCCCAGCAGAGAATTCTCTTTTCTTGAACTGAGTTAATATCAAGCCTCAAATCTCTAATGTCTCCCAAGAAATTAGCCTCTTGACAAGTCATTCGCACTAAGGACTCTGTCCCTTTCCTTCATACTTGCCTCAAAATTACAGGCAACAACTTCCGAATGGAAGCATAGCTGTTGCCGTTTTCGTATTAACCTCACCGATCATACGAAACGTAAAAATTAGCATTTCTAGCAGGATTAAAACTGCTAACGCAACTTCTTTCTGTCCTACACCATTAAACTTGATTAGAAATCCCTTCACGATTAACATTCATCTCGCTGTATCGTGCTTGAAGGTTAATAATATCCACCATATCCTGAGAGAGGGGGAGGGGAGGTATTTATTCAACGGAGGGAGGCCGCCAGGAGAGGCAATTTCCCCTTCCGTCCACTAGAGGGGGATCCGCGGGGGCCGGCCGGAGGATGGTAGAGACACCGAGACACACACAGCATCCCGCCCTGCTCGCCTGCACTTTAGCAGGTAAGATGAAGCAACATTAGTATTCATCGTTCTCTATTCTTCACCCTCGGTAGGTTTTAACTTCTCATAAAGCCCCTTCACAAATGCCGGACGGCCGTGTTAGCCTGGAGGGAAAAAAAGATCGACCTACCATCTTAAAACAATATCCAGTCTAATTCTTCTAAATCAACACTGCGTGAGATAAATACACAACCTGTAAGAACAGATCCTAAGTTTAAAACCTTCGTTTATTCTGTAGCAGCACGTGTGCGCTGCAGAAGTGGATACGGAATGAACGGTGCATGGACGTTCTAGGGAAAAGCATCTCCATTATATACAATGCATAAAGAAATGTACCTAGCCCTTAGCACACCGGCTGTTTCTGCCTATGGGACTGAGTTATCCATGAAATGCAGTAGGACATTTTGTAGTAAATATCCTACCTGACGGACTTTTTTAGACCTACCCACCTATGCAGGTTTGTATACTTAAGGAAGAAATAGACATTTTAGCAATGAAAGACAAACCTTATATTTTTCCCTCATCAAAATACATTGTGTTCTAAGAAAGAAGGGGTGGGGAATGAGCCTGTTTTGGGTGGACTCTACCTAGGTGGTAAAGCAAAATATAATACCTTTCTCTATCTGTAATATTGTTCAGTGTAGCAGACTCTTTTGCTTGTTACAGTACAGTAAATGGGGTGTTTAATTTGGGATTCAATGTAGTCTAGTGTCAAGGTGCAGCAGTTTTATTACAGAAATACAATTTTATTGGAGGCTGAAGATTTAATTTCCATCTTATGTCGAGAGCCATAAACGGTGTGCCTCTATTACATTTTGCATAGCATTTGGTATGTGTAATTCCTGGTCTAATTTTAGAGTTTGAAAAGGTGGAAGAGTCACAATATGTAGATTCAGATTCTTCAACATTTCAGCCACAAATGCCATTTTAAAATGAGTAATTTTCTGTTTCTTAGTCACATATTTGAAATTATTTCTTCCCTCCCCTGATTGAATTCTGCACCACATCCTCTCCAGTCCTTCCTAATGAGGTAAGCCACAAAGTTACCCAAAGAACACCCTTGGGTTGGAGCAAATGCTTTCTTTGTTTAAATTTGTCTACTGGTTGGTCTTTTACTTAAAAGTAAGACGATCAGATGATCCGGATAGTTTGCCTTCTATTGTACTTCATATCTGTCAGGGTCACATGTTAATGTTTGTTCTCATGGATGCATTTGGAATCAAATAATTTGTAAATGTATTGGGAGGATCGAATTTGAAAGAAATGATGATAGCTAGAAAGCTATATCAACATTGAAATCCAAATTTGGGGAATTGTGTCATTATCCTTCCTTCAAATATATTTATTAACAGAAACACACACACACACACACACACACACACACAGAGTAGATGCTGCTCTTCCATTTGTTTGCTCTTTACAGCATTAATTCTCCTCATCAACAGTTCATACCTTCTCTTTACCACCAGGTGGAGCCATTTGTTTATGGACATCTGTCCATTTCCTTTTTCTCCAAGATGCTACCAGATAAATAGCTCCGGAGTTAACATATTGTGGCAAGCATGAAAATTTAACACCCACAGATAAAAAATAAAGCTTTCTCAGGCATTGGTATAACAAACCTTGCCGTAAGAGTCCTCTTGCTATTAGATTTAATAGATTTACGTACTTTCCTATTTACAATTTCTGCACACCAAACAGAAAATAATATTGTTGTGTGTGCCATAAACAGTGTTGCTGCAGGTCTATTTTATGTAGCACCATCGTTTTTATAAACTCAAATGTTTGGAAACTTCAGTCAAATGGCAAAAAAATACTCTATGCTGTGAGCCTCTGTTTTCTTCAGTCTTAAAAATATACACCGCATAGAGAAGAAAATGTTTTCCTTCAGACAAAAGAGAGTGGTGATTCAGCCGTAGGCAGTAAGGGGCAATGTCAGATTCTTCTCTCGGTCAAATTTATCTCTCTTCGATTTGAGGTCCAGTGAAAGGTAAGTCAAAATCTATCTTACTTTTGGTTCTATTTAGGAGCTAGTTCAAAATGAATACTAGTAGCAAAGTTCAATTATTACATTGTTCAATTATTTTAATATTTTTATTTTAAGAAATTAATCAAAGAGCTTCTCATGAACAAAAGGCAGTAAGATAAGAAAAATTTAGAAGCCTGATTTGCATGTGCAAATAACTGTGGAATGAGCTCACCTAAGCTCACGTGCCAATGACCTCAACCTTGATCTGGAAAGATCATTTATTCACAAGTAAAACGTTCACATTCTCTATGCTAACACTGTCTTGGATCTTTCCTTAAGGTAGATTACGAACTGTGACGTTGGACAGTCTATTCATAACATCTGCATTTACCAACATCGTGGAGTTAGGTGTTTAACTGAAATATCATTTCTGTTGCATTCTTTATTTTAATCAGGATTTACTCTCTCTGTATCATATGTATCTAAAATTTTCCTTGAGCATCTGCAAAGCAGTGAGTGGAGGAAGATCTGTGTGTAGGCTTTATTGAATCCGTCCCTGGGCCTGAGAAATCTGGCTTTTCTCTCCTATGCGAACTGGTTCTGGGAGCCGAGATGGGAGGCTGTCTGCAAAGAAGCCCTCATACAACAAAATGCTGGAACCACCATTTTGCTGTTCGCTCTCACACAATGAAATGGTGGCACAGAAAACAGTTAACACGTGCCCACGAGGGTCGTCTTTGAAAGTATTCTACTCTCTGATCCAAATATCTAGCTGCTTTTTAAAATGTTGCTACTAAGGGGCTAAAGATTTTCATTTTCTTTAAGTGTGTAAAACTTGTGCGTGTGTGTGTGTGTGTGTGTGTAAAATGCTGGAAGCATCGGCCGTGTACATTCAACTGAAGGATGGAAAGAACTCGTCAAAAATGCACACTTATTTAGCAAACCTGAATAAAAGCCCAGATCCTGAGAACCGCTTCTAACAGCTCACAAAGGCTGCACGGTGCATTTGGCCCCGACGCCTCCTTTCGTTTGAGCATTCACGGCGTGCAACTGAGAGTGAGGAAATTTAAGAGAGTTGGGGTTTTTCCCTTCTTTTTTTAAAAAAAAGTCCTGTAAAAATTAAAAGCAGGCCCACATTTGACTCACCTGGGAGACCCCACGCTCGCATTTTTTTATGGGAGGAAGAAAACAGAACAAAACAAGGACCCAGAATCCCTTCCTCTTTCACTTCTGTTCTTATTTTTAATCATTAAAAATGCTTCCTTGGCTGCGTTAAAGTGTGGAAATTCTCATTTTTCTGCAGTGTTTCAGACTCACATAGACTCCTTGGGGACGCGGTGAGGAGCTAACCAACTGCACGTGGGAAATGAGGATTTTCATGGTTAGAAAAACTGCAGTGTTTGGTAATTTTCCACATGGAGTCAAAGTCACGAGTGACTTTTTTCTTTCAAACATAATGACTTGAGCACTTGGTGTAGAGTTGTAGGTTAGGATTTATTTGAACGCATCAAATTGTCTTACAGAATTTAACTTGACTTCTTTTT